ATGTGTTTTTTTTTTTTTAATTATTCATTTGACAGATAGAGATCACAAGTAGGCAGAGAGACAGGCAGCGAGAGAGGAGGAAGCAGGCTCCCCGCTGAGCAGAGAGCCCGATGCGGGGCTCCATCCCAGGACCCTGGGACCATGACCTGAGCCGAAGGCAGAGGCTTTAACCCACTGAGCCACCCAGGCGCCCCTGCTGTTGAGGAATGTTAAGAAACAAGACGTTAGTGCCTGGCAAACAGCCCCATCAGTGAGGATATTCCTGAGCTTGCTGGCGTTGAGGCGGAAGAGCTTTCCCCTGGGGACTCCGCTAATCAAACTGGAAGGACAAAGAAAAAAGCAGCTGACGCAGAAGTCACACTGAAGCACCAAGAAAGGTCACAGCAAACACTGACGGAGGACTCTGCTGCTATCAGCAGTGCCATCGGGATGTTAGAACAGATGGATGTCAGTCGCAAGACATTCCCTAGAGCTGATGGGCAGACACAGGATGCTCCTGCTTGCTACACAAAAACATGTAATGAGGGGCGCCTGGGTGGCTCAGTGGGTTAAGCCTCTGCCTTCAGCTCGGATCATGATCTCAGGGTCTGGGATCGAGCCCCACATCGGGCTCTCTGCTCAGCGGGGAGCCTGCTCCCCCCCACCCCGCCTCTGCCTGCCTCTCTGCCTACTTGTGATCTCTGTCTGTCAAATAAATAAATAAAATCTTAAAAAAACCCATACAATGAAAAGAAGAAACAAACCACACAGTCAAAACTTGGTATTCCCCTAAAGAACTCTGCTGGCTAAACCCTCAACGAGTCCTGAGGCCTTGGTGCCCTCTACCCGCTATTCTTCAGCCTCATCACAAGAAAGAGAAATGGATGATCCTGTCCCTGTAGGAACCCCATTATCCACAAATTAACTGTAGCTTACCACCTCAAACGTTCGTTAGGCCCAGCTGTGTATGTTAATGATAAGTACCCACACAATCATGGTTTTTCACTTTTAGTAGAGTATTCAATACATTACATGAGATATTCAACACTTCGTTATAAAATAGGTTTTGTGTCAGATGACTCTGCCCACCTGTAAATGAATGTAAGCGTTCTGAGGATGGGTAACCCAGGCGAGGTTACGCTACGATGGTCAGGAGGGCTGGTGTACTAAATGCATTTCTGACTACGGTGTTTTCAACTTACAGTGGGTTTACAGACATGTAACCCCACAAGTGAGGGAAGATCTGTGTAGGAGTTTGCAAAAAAGAAAGGAAATGTTAATAGAAAAAAATTTTCAAGACAAAAGGACAATGGAAAGGATACAAGTAGACGTAAACAGACTATACTTCTCATGGGTTTTGTAAAAATTCCTCGTTGAAGCAAAAAACATCATCCGATATGCTCAGTGCACAAAGAGGAAATACGTAACACAATTATACTGGAGAGTGGGGAATGTGAAGGGGCAGATAAAGCCAGGTTTCTACATATCAAAGCGCTAGGGCGTTGATGCCACAGGCTGTGATAAATTGTATGTGTATAAAACAATACCTAAAATGACTACTAAAATACAAAGAGATAGTCTCAGAAACATATTTATAGCAAATGGAATTCTAAAAATTAAAGTTAACCCACAGGAAGGCAAAACAAACAAACAAAAAACCCCAAAAAACAGAGCAAAAATAAACAGGGAACAAAGAAAGGCCAAACAATAAAATGGCAAACTCAAGCCCTAACATATCAGTAATTATTTAAACTTAAATGGTCTAAATACAGCAATTTAAGAAAGAAATCAGCAGAATGGATAAAGACAAAGCATGACCTGAGTATGTGCTATTCCTGGACACTCACTTCAAATGTAACGACACACGTAAGGTTGAAAATAAAATTATGGAACCATATAAACCTCAAACTGCAAAATATTACCCCCCAAATACAATAGTGACTATATTAGTATCAGATAAAATATACTCCAAAGAAAACTTACAGGGGCAAAAAGAGACATTACAGAATAATAAAAAAGTCAACACAACAAAATGACAGAGCAATCCTACATGTGTGTGCACCGACAACAGAGCTTTGAAACGCTCAAAGCAAAAACTGGTAGAATTTAAAAGGAGAAACAGACAATTCCCGATCATACTTCAGGACTTCAATATCCCCCTCTCAGCTATTGAGGGCAATACCAAACAGAAAATCAGCAAGGATACAGAAAATCCGAAAACATCATCAACCAACAGGATCATGTGGACATTTACATAAACTCCATCCAATGACAGTAGAATACACATTCTTCTCAAGCAACTTCATAAACATTCATCAAGACAGACCATATTTGGGGTCATAAAGCAAACCTCAACAAATTTAAACAACTAGATCAAATATAAAACAAACTAGAAGCCGTTAACAAAAAGCATGAAATACCCCAAACACTAGGAAATTAAACAATACACTTCTAAATACTTTATGGGTTAGAGAGGAAGTTTTGAATAAAGAAATTTTTAGAACCAAATGAAATGTAGTTAAAATGTATTACAACTTGTGAGGAAAGTGCTGTGAGGAAAATTTATAGAACGTAATGCTTACATCAGAAAAGCAAAAAATCTCAAATCAGTAATCTAAGCATCCCTCCCAAGAAACTACAGAGGAAAGTACCACCAAAGCAGATGGAAGAACAGATATAATAAAGGTCAATACAGGTATCAGTGAAATCGGGAACAAAAAGGTAAGAGAGAAAAAGCAGTGGTATAAAGTGCTGCTTCTTTAAAAAGATCCCAAAAAATGATAAATATCTAAGAAGATTAACAAAGATAAAAAGAGAGTTGATGCGTTTCCAGTATCAGGAATCTAACAGGAGATATGAGTAGAGATTCTTCCATCATAAACAATATAATAAAGGAATACTTGAAACAAATAAGAAAATTTAGATGAAATGGAACAATTCCTAAAATCGGACAACTATGAAAATTCATCCAATATTAAACATTCTGAACAGTTCTATACATATTAAATAAAATAAATACGTAACTAAAAGCATCCAAAGAAAAATCTCCAGGCATAAATGTTTCACTGGAGAATGCCACCAAACATTAAAAATAAAACCAACTCTGTATCCTATCTTCCACATAATAAGACTACTCCCAATACATTTGGGGAGGTCACTATCACCTACAGACCGGAACCAATGACAGTACAAAACAAAAGACAAAAAACAAAACAAACAAAAATGAGTGAAAGAAAGAAATCTATGTATCATTACCACTAATGAAATTGCAGGAAAACTTCCTCAACATACTAGTATACTGAATACTATAATAGAATAACAATTCTGTTCTAAACCAAGTAGGGCTTATTTCAAGAACACAAAGTTGATTTCACATTCAAAACTCAAATTAATGGGGCACCTGGGTGGCTCAGCGGGTTAAAGCCTCTGCCTTTGGCTCAGGTCATGATCCCAGGGTCCTGGGATTGAGCCCCGCATCGGGCTCTCTGCTCTGCGGGGAGCCTGCTTCCCCCCGTCTCTCTCTGCCTGTCTCTCTGCCTACTTGTGATCTCTGTCAAATAAATAAATAAAATCTTTAAAAAAAATGAAAAAAACCCCTCAAATTAATGTAATACATCCTATCAACAAGCTACAGAAGAAAAAAACACAAGATTATATCAATTGGTAGAGAAAAAGTGTGTGATAAAATTGAACACCGATTCATAATAACAACAAAACCCCCCCAGCAAATTAGGAATATAGGAAACTTCCTAAACTTGATAAGAAACATCTATAAAGAAAACCTTATACTAACATGATACTCGATGAAAAGTTGTATGTTTCCCCCTAATATCAGAAACCAGACAAGAAAATCCTTTCCTACTACTACTACTGTTCAACATCATATTGGAAATCCTAGCTAGCACAGCAGATAAGAAAAGAAAATACTAGGCATACATATGGTAGGGAAGAAATAAAACTATCTCTTTTGTGGATGATATTTCTATGTTTTCTAACCCCAAGCATCCTATCGCAACAAATAAATGGCTACCGTTCAGCAAGGGTGCAGGATACCAAAACAACATCCAAATTTTAATTACATTTCTGCATACTACTAAAACTTGTGTGGAAATGGAAAGTTTAAAAATCAATGCCATTTATAATAAAAGGAAAAAAAACACCTTGATATAAACCTTATAAAATCCATACAGGACCTATCATTGAAGTTTATACAACAGTGATGAAGTAAATCAAATGATACTTAAACAAACAGAGTTTGGGTTAAGTATGAACATACTGTGTTCATAATGATGTGAATTCTCAACAAATTGATCTGAAAATTTAACTCAATTTCTAACGAAATTCAACAGATTTTTTTCATAAAAATAGACAAACTTCTCCAAAACTTTATGTGGAAATTCAAAGTAATGAAGAATGCTAAATCAGTTTTAAATAAAAACAATAAAGAGAGAGAAATCATTTTACACAACTCAAAGATTTACCATCTAATTACAGCCATCAAGTAAACCAATAGTACAGGACCAAGAAAAAGTCTAAGTATCAGCTCCTTAAAACCACATGAAGTTTCTTTCTTTCTTTCTTTCTTTTTTAAATCAAAGCCTTAAACAGTTTTAACCAGTGCAACAACATGTGCCCATTCATATGTGTGTTCTTAACTCCTCAACAGAAAGGTGTTTGACGGTTCCAGCCTTTGTATTTCTCACAAAGATGAAGCTCCTTAAGAACAGAGACGGTGTTTTAGAACAAAGAAGATGTTTCTGAAGTTTCCAAACCTGCCTTCAATTAACTCTCTTGACTCTGGACAGCAAGGAATGTATATACAAGACATATAGCAGTCTGAGTCCTTTATCCCTAAAACAAAACCCTCCCCCTGCCAAGTAAACAAGGGATGCCATGACAAAGTGCCAAAGGCTTGGGAAGGAAGTCTGAAAGAAAATGTGTGTTTACAGTTCATTTTCTCTTCTATGTCTCTTTCTTAAAAAAAAAAAGAAAAAAGAAAAAAGAAAAAAAAATTCCTGAGATATTACTGCAGTGTAAAACAAGGAAAAACATGTAGCTGGAGGTTTTCCTATGTGCACATAATCACTGGGTCTCTCCCTGGATGAATTCTCAGATGCAGGGTAAGGCTCCAGATGGGATAACTTTCCCGTCTGACTCCTCAGATGACAAATGATGTCCTGCAACAGAGGGTTTCTCATCGGGAAGGAAACTGAGGGGGTTCTCTTTGGTATGAACGATCAGATTCTGAGTAAGAAGTTTCCTCAGTGGTTACATTCAAGAAGTCTTTCCCCAACAGGAGCTCTTGAAGGTTGACTGAGGACTGCCCGCTCGTGAAGGGTCTTCCCACTTCGGTTACACGGACAGGGGTTCTCCCAGTATGAATCCTCTGATGCTGAGTGAGGGACGAGCTGCGACTGAAGGCTTTCCCACACTCACTGCACTCATAGGGCTTCTCTCCGGTGTGGATGATGGCGTGTCGGATGAGGTTGGTGCTCCAGCAGAAGGTTTTCCCACACTCGACACATTCATAGGGCTTCTCTCCGCTGTGAATCCGCTGGTGCCTCGTGAGCCCTGACCGGCGGTTGAAGGCCTTCCCGCACTCCGTGCACTCGTAGGGCTTCTCCCCAGTGTGGATGCTGAAGTGTCGGATGAGGTCTGCACGATTGCTAAAGGCTTTCCCACATTCTTTGCACTCAAAGGGTTTTTCTCCAGTGTGGGCCCTTTTGTGCAAGATGAAAGTAGAGCAGTGGGTGAAGGCCTTTCCACACTCACCGCACACATAGGGCTTCTCCCCAGTGTGGATCCTCTGGTGCCTCTTGAGGTACGACCTGTGGTTGAAGGCCTTCCCGCACTCCAGGCACTCAAACGGCTTCTCCCCAGTGTGGATGACGTAGTGGTGAATGAGGGCCGCACT